GTTCAGCAGATTTATTTTTTTCTTGTAGCTTTAGCAATGCAATGGCTCTTTTGTTTCAAAAATGTATTTGGTGTAGGAATTTATGGGATTTGGAACACTGCAGAGAATTTAAAGACACCAGTGCTTTCTTGGCAAGGTTTTGGGTGTTGGATCCCCTCCCTCTATTCACCTTCACCTTCAAACATACCTAAGTTTTCTCATTTGTAATTTAACCTTACAAAATTATACTACAAGGTTTTTAAAGAACAAGAGTACAAGCCCACTTTCTTCAGGAAGCATAATTCCAGGGTCTGAGCACTGATGACAACCCAGACAAATTTTAGGGAATCAAATCAGAAATTTGAAGAAATATTCCTTGCATAAACGTCTTTTAAATGCTCCAAATAAATGGAAGGTATTTAAATTTAAAAATAAATTCCTTACCTTAAAAGCACCATTTGGTGATGAGATAGTTGACACACGAAGATCACCAATCTGGTGGTTGTTGAGTAAACAGTAACTAGTGCCTTTTTGCAGTACTTGGCTAACTCCAGGCAGCATGTGTGCTGTGGTCATCTTCAAACCCATACAGATGAGGTGGTGAAGAGATCTAAGGAACATTTCTTCCCAGGTGTAGAAATATTTTTTTAATGAGAAATCCATTTCCAACATCAGACTTGCTTTGGAATCTAAGAATGTAAAAATTGATTGTACTTCATCTCTGTGTCACAAACAATACTGTGGCTGTTGTGCTAAATTCTGAGACCCCTAAAACCTCATTGAAGCAGCTGCTCCCAACATTTTTGAGTTCTGAATTTCCCTTGCTTTAAAATATATATACATGGATGTAAACAGCTTTTGTTTGGATGGCTGGTCTCAAAATACAGATTTGGATCTGAAAGAAAGAAAAACCATTTTAGAATGCATTCTGACCTTGGTTCATGGTAGAAGGATGAGAATACTGGAATGTGCTTCAGTTCATGTCATTAGTTGCTATAACCTCTAAGACTGAAGCAGTGATGTTTGTTAGCATTCTGTCCATGGTCCCATTTTCAGACTGAGCCTGTGTGCTCTGAGTTTGTGTTTGTAATTCACAAAAACAATAAACTAAGTTTAGGAAAAAATTGTATTATTGGAAAATAAAAGTCAAGGTGTTTTGATACTGTTTGTCTTGCAGTGTTTGTTGTGTGGAGTTTCACCTCCTCTTTTGTTTTCCTAATCATATCCTCATGTCTGTTGAGGAATGTTGCTGCTCTGGTATCTCCCAGTTCAGTTCTTGAGTCAGCAATTGCTAGGTTTAGTTATTCTTGTGCTGCAGCTCTAAGAGTGTGAAGCTTTTTGTCCCCAAATTCTGATCTGATAGAGGTGTTGTTCCCTGTAGGCTTTAAAGAATGACCTGCACCATTTTGTATGTGACTTGTAACAGTCAAGTCTTGCTGAGGGTACAGGTGTGTCTAGGCTTGACAAGACTTCTTGCTTCTTGATCAGTTAAACTGTTTGGAGTGTCAGTCTCTAGAGGATGGTCTTTTATCTCCCTTAGTGAGACTATATTGAAAAAAGATTAAAATTGTCAGGAAAACCATAATCCACAGCAAACAACAACTGAAAAATAGCATTAGATTTAATGTGCAGCTTTCAGTAATTGACAAATCTTAGTAAATTTCTGTGTTGGAAGTTGGAAGGATTAAGAATCTGGAGTTAGACTAGATACCTGTATTCAGTGTCCAGTTCTGTCATGATGGGAAGGCAGAGGGCGGATCTTGATTGTTGGGAGTCTTTGCATGCCCAGAGGCTTGAGCTCAGTCACAGCTGTGCAGGGAATCGTGAGTGTTTGAGGGGCTTAATGGATCATTGGGGAGAGGGCCTGTGCCTGCCTGGTACAAACTGCATTACAGTGGGAGGTGTGGTGAAGTGATGCATGATGCAGATCATGCTGGAATTCTGGGTGGGGCTGACTCATATTGGGGTTTGATGCAGCAGCTTCTCTGTCTATACAAAAATATTAGAGAAACTTACGGGGTAATGTAAATAGATACTGAATTAAAATTTAAATATTCCAGTTTTTAAAACCAAATCACAATGTTTCTTTTGAGACCTAAATACTAAGACTGTTCCAATAGGTCTTCTTAAGTGGAGATTGGAGAGCACAAGCTGCTTGTGATGATTTGGATCAGTTGGATGTGGGAGCTGAGAGATTCTTGCTTTAATAATTGAAACTAACTAGAAGGCTTACTTTCTGTGGCTATGTATCAACTCTGAAAGATGAACTCTTTTACAAAGGGGAGGGTTGGCTTACCAAGTTTTTAAGTGTGTCTGTGACCATTTTGAAAAAAGATTATGTATATAATCAGAAGGCCCAAGAGGAGGAGAGGAAGACTTAGTTTTTGTGGTCTGAGACTGAGATGGGGGAGAAGGAAAGGCAAATAACCCAAAAGTAGTCTGCCAAAAACAGGACAGTGGCTCACTTGAGTATTTTCAAATATGTGGTATAATTGACTGTTAGAGATTTCAAAAGTTAAAATTTTCTAAGAAAATGGTTAAAATTCAGAAGATCTGCAGTTTGCCCCAAACCTGTAAGAGTCGCAGACTTTGAAAAGCAGGTGGCTTGTGAGTGGGAGGGGCAGGTAGGAAGCAAAACTCTTAACCACTGTGTTAAGACTAATAGCAGGGAGTGTTAAGACAAAACAACCTTCCTTTCTCTCAGATGTGCCTTTTTTTGTTTTGTTTTACTGTGCTGTAAAAGTGTAATTTATTTTATAGCATCTTGATGGCATATTTAAGTGTGTTTGAAAGACAAGTGAAGTAGGTCTCAAGCAGGGAAATGTTTTTCATTCCTTTTCTGAGAAATATTCTTTAGTTATTAGAAAATGTAAAATAAAAAAAATACTGTGGAGCAACTTTGTTGCTCATGATAAATTTTAAAAGATTGCAGACTTGCTCAACCACAATAAATTTGTATAAATGCCAACAGGGAGAAACTTTTTCCTGTCTGTGATGTGGTAGAGGAACTGTGGAATGTGTGGTAAATAATAACACTGAGCTACATGCGTAACCAAAGTTGTGTTTTGCTTCCTCAGGAGAAAAAAGAGCAAGAGCCGAAGTCGAAGCCATGACAGGAAGAGGAGCAGAAGCAAGGAACGCAAGCGGAGCCGAGATCGGGAAAGGAAAAAGAGCAGGAGCCGGGAGAGGAAGCGCAGCAGGAGCAAGGAGCGCAGGCGCAGCCGCTCTCGGAGCAGGGATCGCAGATTCAGAGGCCGTTACAGAAGTCCCTAGTAGGTTATTTATGTAGTGGTGTGTGTGCTGCTTCAATGGGTGGTGTGGGAGCTCAGCTTCTGTCTGCCTTCTAAATTTGCCATTAATCATCTCGGGAAGGTGAGAGGTTAAGGTCGGAGAGTGTCAGGAAATAGAGTGAAAAAGGGGAGGACAGTAATGTGTCCAGCTCCTCCTGCTAGTCTTCATTTTTATCTGTACACAGAAAGGTGTGAAAGCAAGTGAAATAATGGGTACAACTGACTGGGGAAAAAAATCACAAAATGAAAATAATGAGCAAGTGATTTAAATGTCCCATCCAGTACATGTATTGACATGTCCTAACCATCTTCAGTACATGAACCTGATGGTTTAACTGTCAAGAAAAGGCATGCAAACAACAACTGAAAAATAGCATTAGATTCAATGTGCAGCTTTCAGTAATTGACAAATCTTAGTAAATTTCTGTGTTGGAAGTTGGAAGGATTAAGAATCTGGAGTTAGACTAGATACCTGTATTCAGTGTCCAGTTCTGTCATGATGGGAAGGCAGAGGGCGGATCTTGATTGTTGGGAGTCTTTGCATGCCCAGAGGCTTGAGCTCAGTCACAGCTGTGCAGGGAATCGATGCCCTCCTCACTGAGGGCAGGTCCTGCTTGCTGCTCCTGGCCCCTGGGGTGAGCTGCAGGTAGTGGTTTGTGGAGCTACTACCTTGAGTGTTTGAGGGGCTTAATGGATCATTGGGGAGAGGGCCTGTGCCTGCCTGGTACAAACTGCATTACAGTGGGAGGTGTGGTGAAGTGATGCTGATGCAGATCATGCTGGAATTCTGGGTGGGGCTGACTCATATTGGGGTTTGATGCAGCAGCTTCTCTGTCTATACAAAAATATTAGAGAAACTTACGGGGTAATGTAAATAGATACTGAATTAAAATTTAAATATTCCAGTTTTTAAAACCAAATCAATGTTTCTTTTGAGACCTAAATACTAAGACTGTTCCAATAGGTCTTCTTAAGTGGAGATTGGAGAGCACAAGCTGCTTGTGATGATTTGGATCAGTTGGATGTGGGAGCTGAGAGATTCTTGCTTTAATAATTGAAACTAACTAGAAGGCTTACTTTCTGTGGCTATGTATCAACTCTGAAAGATGAACTCTTTTACAAAGGGGAGGGTTGGCTTACCAAGTTTTTAAGTGTGTCTGTGACCATTTTGAAAAAAGATTATGTATATAATCAGAAGGCCCAAGAGGAGGAGAGGAAAAAATAAATAGCAAAGGATGTTTTGAGTTTCAAAAGTTTAGCATCAAAGTAAGTTACTTCCAGAATATGGTGGGAGGTAAATTCTTGTCTTAAATAATTGCTTGAGCATCTGTTTAATGTGTTTTATTTATGCAAACAAATATATTTAAAAAACTAGAAGACTTAGTTTTTGTGGTCTGAGACTGAGATGGGGGAGAAGGAAAGGCAAATAACCCAAAAGTAGTCTGCCAAAAACAGGACAGTGGCTCACTTGAGTATTTTCAAATATGTGGTATAATTGACTGTTAGAGATTTCAAAAGTTAAAATTTTCTAAGAAAATGGTTAAAATTCAGAAGATCTGCAGTTTGCCCCAAACCTGTAAGAGTCGCAGACTTTGAAAAGCAGGTGGCTTGTGAGTGGGAGGGGCAGGTAGGAAGCAAAACTCTTAACCACTGTGTTAAGACTAATAGCAGGGAGTGTTAAGACAAAACAACCTTCCTTTCTCTCAGATGTGCCTTTTTTTGTTTTGTTTTACTGTGCTGTAAAAGTGTAATTTATTTTATAGCATCTTGATGGCATATTTAAGTGTGTTTGAAAGACAAGTGAAGTAGGTCTCAAGCAGGGAAATGTTTTTCATTCCTTTTCTGAGAAATATTCTTTAGTTATTAGAAAATGTAAAATAAAAAAAATACTGTGGAGCAACTTTGTTGCTCATGATAAATTTTAAAAGATTGCAGACTTGCTCAACCACAATAAATTTGTATAAATGCCAACAGGGAGAAACTTTTTCCTGTCTGTGATGTGGTAGAGGAACTGTGGAATGTGTGGTAAATAATAACACTGAGCTACATGCGTAACCAAAGTTGTGTTTTGCTTCCTCAGGAGAAAAAAGAGCAAGAGCCGAAGTCGAAGCCATGACAGGAAGAGGAGCAGAAGCAAGGAACGCAAGCGGAGCCGAGATCGGGAAAGGAAAAAGAGCAGGAGCCGGGAGAGGAAGCGCAGCAGGAGCAAGGAGCGCAGGCGCAGCCGCTCTCGGAGCCGGGATCGCAGATTCAGAGGCCGTTACAGAAGTCCCTAGTAGGTTATTTATGTAGTGGTCTGTGTGCTGCTTCAATGGGTGATGTGGGAGCTCAGCTTCTGTCTGCCTTCTAAATTTGCCATTAATCATCTCGGGAAGGTGAGAGGTTAAGGTCGGAGAGTGTCAGGAAATAGAGTGAAAAAGGGGAGGACAGTAATGTGTCCAACTCCTCCTGCTAGTTTTCATTTTTATCTGTACGCAGAAAGGTGTGAAAGCAAGTGAAATAATGTGTACAACTGACTGGGGAAAAAAAATCACAAAATCAAAATAATGAGCAAATGATTTAAATGTCCCATCCAGTACAAATTGACATGTCCTAACCATCTTCAGTACATTAACCTGATGGTTTAACTGTCAAGAAAAGGCATAGTAGCCTATGGCTTTGGTTACAGGTTCAAAACCTTTTGCTGGAATTACTAAAGGTTTTACTGGGTTCCTGCTCTTAAACACTTGCTGTGTTTATGGATCCAGACTGGAAGTGTTTTGCCTCAGTAGTGCATGTTTGCTCTGCTTTTTCTCAGACTTCTTTAGAGGCTGGGAAATTA